GAAAGGGTAAGAGATGGTCGGGCAGCTAATTTCCGGGTCGGCATGCGTTATCTCGCTTGATTTTTGAACAATATAGGAACGAGTGTCGGAGGCTCAACTTTGTATCCTGATTCATTGGTGATTTCTCCGTGTTTCAAATTGGGAGATGAAGTATTCCGGGGTTACGAGTAGCACGAACGGAGGATCGGTTGCGAGATTCCGAACAAGCAATGCAGTATCTGAGTATGATGCCACGGGTATGAGATCAGTGGTAGAGTCAAGACATTGCGAGGTGCGGTGATGGTGCACCAGGGTATCCGAGTATAATGTCATAAATCTCGAATTATTTTAATTTTTGAGTTTGAGATGGTAAGTGGTGTATCAAGTATTTGCGGTTCTAGTAGGAACCCTACTGCCAATGAGCATCAAGCGAGATTATTCGAGAATGTGGATTGCAGCAGGGAAAGGTGTTTTGTTATAATGGATGTCGTCAGATATAGCAATGCATAATTTGAGTAGGTGTGTACACCTATGCATGGTTGGTCTGTAGGGCATGAGTTAATGATCATAGTGTGGCGTCGACATAAGGATGAGACTTGAAGTGGTAAGAGCAAGTGCGGTAAGACTATGGGGAGTTGCAGTTTCAATGAGCTAGTGCAAAGGGGTGCGGTGATGCTATGGGGAGCTGTAGGACTCACTATTCAGTTAGAGATTGTGGTGATTCTACAGGGAGCCGTAGTACTCACTATTCAGTGAAAGGTTGTGGTGATGCTACGGGGAGCTGTAGTACTCACTATTCAGTGAGAGATTGTGGTGATGCTATGGGGAGCCGTAGTACTCACTATCCAGTGAGAGGTTGTTCTGATGCTATGAGGAGCCATAGTACTCACTATTCAGGGAAAGGTCGTTGTGATACTGCGAGGAGCTGTTGTACCAGTCAGCGAGAGAATGTTGTGATGAATTACTCTATGATCAGAGCATGACGCAAAAAAGTCTTAGGCCTGAGTAGTCCTACTATTTAAGTTTGTGGGAGCCTGATGGTCGAATCAGGGGTGAGATTGGGGACTCCACATTTGACGGGATTCATTATATTCTGAATTGAGTAGTGGTTGTTGCAATCAAGTGGAGTGGATAAGTGAGGTACACATGGGTTGTGGGTCATGAGTCATGAGTTGTGTGGTTCATTGGGACGAGTGGTTCCAACCCAAGGTCAGACCAAACTCTCGAGTTTGAGTTTGGTTTTGGTGGTGCGTCGGGTTGGCAAGATGAGATTCCAGATTCAGAGATGAGTTCCTTATTGAAGGGTTTTGGTTGTCATCTGGCATCTTAGACCAGCATAGGGCAGTGCTTGGTTCGGGAGGTACAGCGAGATGCACATAATTATTGAGTCGTAGACGACAAAGGTTAGGGGTGAGTTGATCTTCAATGGGGATTGTAGTATTTACTTGGAATAGCAGGAATTTCGTGAATTTTGTGTCACAATGGGTCGAGACAGTTGTTGTGAGAAGGAAGTCGGCAAGACGTTTTGGAACATGCATGGGTAACCTTTGGAGGTTCAATGGTGGAAGAAGGGAGTGACCTGGTGCTCAGGGTTGAAAAGGGACATCTGAGAGGAAGCTGAAGCTTGTGATTGCTAGATGTTAGAGGATGTTTCTAAGCAAGTATGAGCATTTCCCTGAGCGTGAGGGAAGAGTGTTGAGAGTTATTTATTCAGATGGTATTTTGATGACAGTGCAGTGGATGGATCCCTGGTGTAGCGTGACTGTTTTTCGCTCCTTTGAGTAGGATATGGAGCACTTAGTGCAACTGGTATGAGTGATCGGTAGCCGATTGTTGGTTTTCGTTTGTAAGAAATCATAGAAGCAGTGAGTTATTAGGGTTTGATGATTCGAGTAGCAAATATCATGGTGATAGGTCGAATCGGGGTCTGGTGGCGGGTCAGGCCACAAGAGATTCTAGACTTTGGGAATTTCAGAAAGGAGTATCTTAACTGTAGAAGTGTTGGTCTTGTTCTGGACTTGGGATTTCTGTGTGAATTCAGGACCGATGGGGAAGATATCGGTGTGGTATAAGATCCTTTTGGTGGTACCATCACGTTGTTGGATTCAATCTATGTGTGGTTAAGGAGTGATTTCGAGGACGAAATCTAATTTAAGTGGTGGAGAATTCTAACATCTTGATATCCGAGGTATAACATTTTGATATGTGGCATGAGTTTGACTGAGTGATACAAAGAGTTGGCTCCTTAACTCGTCGAGTTGGGTCGCGATTTCGGATGTGTCAATTGGATGGACTCGACGAGTCGGATATTTGACTCGCCGAGTCATCACTGTGGACAGAAGCCCTAAATCCTTAGGGCTTGAGACCTATTTAAAGGCCCTTATGGCCTTCATTTGTGGCTACACATACCTTGGAGAAACCCTAATCGAATCAGAAAGCATAGAGAGAGAGAGAGAGAGAGAGAGAAAGAAAGAGGGAGAGAGAGAGAGAGAGAGCTAATTTCTTCATTGTTGTGCATTCTAGCAAGGAAGAAAGAGGGAATTCAAGCTAAGCTAACTTGAGGGGCTCAGATCTTCCATCATTTCATTCAAAGTTGTTACTGGAGGTATGGATTCATGTCCATTTCTGTATGTGTAGTAGATTTCATGAACTTAGGGTTTCTTCTTCTCCTTTATAGTTAAGATATGGTGTATGTGAAATCCCTTTGTGGCATTGATATCAGATCTGGATCTTGAGAGGTCCAGAGAGTCCTAATAATCCAACTTTATGCAATCACATAAGAGTTTTGAGCATAAGTTATCATGTTAAGGGTTATTTTGTCAAATAGAGTTGATGGTGCGATGCATGGGGCTAAAGGTCCGACCTTTACGTGATTTTTGGGTTCTAGAAGGCCAGATTTATAGGTTAGAGGAGCAGATATGACCTTAGAAGGTCGTTTGAGTATTGCCATGGAGCAAACTCGCAGAGTCCATGAGAGAACTCGATGAGTCAGATCGGGTTGCCCCACGATTCGTGACCTGTGGTAACCCGTTGAGTTGGAAGGTTAGCTCGACAAGTCGAGTAAGGTCTTAGAGGGAATCATGGTATACGCATGGACTCTCCGAGTCATCGAGTGCACTCGACGAGTCTGGTCAAAGTTGGACCATTGACTTGAGTGGACTTTAGTTGACCTTGGAATTTTGGTCAAGCTGATTCAAGAGAGGTCAGAGTGGGGTAGAATGGTCTTCTACCCATTATTAGAGATGAGAACATGAGAGAGTATTGATTAGAGATGTTATCATTTTGATAGGAGGAGGCTAGGTCGGGATATCGAGCACGAGAGTTTATCTGACTTCATACAAGGTGAGTCTTCTCACTATACTTTACCTTGAGTGGTAGTTATGTGTGGCCGGAGGTCCAACGATTCATGAGGCCGGAAGGCTCAAGCAGACCAGATCGGAGGGTACAACGAGCTTAGGACCAGAAGCATGATAGAGTTAGGGCGAGAGGGTCCACAGAGTTAGGGCGAGAGGGTCCACAGAGTTAGGACCAGAAGGTCCATAGAGTTAGGACCAGAGGGTCCATAGAGTTATAGCCTCGAATGGCTAATATGTGTTGTATGCGGTATTTTGGGGAACTCGCTAAGCTTTGTGCTTACCGTGTGATGTGGTATGCATTTCAGGTTCTTATCAGTATCGCAGGAAGGTGGCGACTCGATTGTATAGACAAGAGAAAAGAGTCATGAATTGGGATCCTGGATTTTTATAATGTTTTGAAAACTTTGTTGACTATTACAAAGTCTTTATTTAGAATGACACACATTTTTATGAAATAAAAATGAAAAATTAATTTGAAAATTTTTACGGTGTTAGACAGATAATATCAATTAAAATATTCCCTAGGCTAAGGCATCATGAATTAGGCAACCCTTGTCCTAATTTCTGAAATACATAGCCTATTCTCTAGCATGCAGCTCTAATATCTCATAATGTAAACATATAATGGTTTTTTGGGAAATCACTGCTCGGGTTCTGGCTGATTGTACACACTGCTCCGTCTCGTTTCCCCTTTAAACTCTTACTCGTTTTAGAAAAATCATTTCTTTTTGAAAAAATTTCTCAAATCCTCAGCTTGAGTCCAGATATAACCGAGAGTACATCCGAATCCCTCAAACCAAGGCTCTAATACCAACTTGTAACACCGTAAATTTTCAAGCAAATTTTTTCATTTTAAATTCACATTAATCTCATTAACACATTCACAAAACCCAAAGTATCAATTTATTAAAAACACAAATCCATAATTGATTGATTAAAAATCCAGGATCCTCAAAAATGTAACTCCATCTCGTGTGTACAATCAAGCCGACACCGTCCCGCGATCCTGAGAAGTACCTGAAAGACATATCACATAACACAGTAGCACGAAGTTTAGTGAGTTCTCCAAAATACCACTTATATCTCATTATCCTCTCACAACTATGCTCGAATAAGACCCTCCGGTCAATGTATCTCGGTGGGACCCTCTAGTCCCACAACTCGGGTGGACCCTCCGGTCCTAACTCTGTAAGTTCAGAATAATACACAACATAAATCAAAAAGACATGATGCAGGATACCACAATACTTAATAAATCATACAAGACCCTTCGGTTACACAAAAATTATCACTCTAGGTAAGTATAGTGAGAAGACTCACCTCATAGAGTAAAGCAATGCATCCCACACTCAAGCTGTTGGTCAAATCTTCGCCCATCCATGGCCTCCAAAATCCATAGTTGACAAAAACCTTAAAGTTAACGAAAGTCAACAGTCAAAACTAATCTAACTCTAAAAGTCAACGGAAGTCCACACCTAACTCAACTGTCCATGTTGACTCAACGCGCCGAGTACAACTCACGAACTCGTCAAGTCCCTCAAAACTCAATAAATCGCAAAAAACTAATTCTACTCGCCGAGTTGCTAGCCAACTCATCGAATCCATGAAACCCAGAGCCTAAATGTGCATTCATCATCACAACACTTAACCGATAATCTTTTATTGTCATTTTTTATAATACAATTGAAACCCATTGGCTACAACATAATTACAAAGCATGAATTTCAATTGTGTAGGATTGATAAACCTCATACCTAGAATTGGCAACTGCTTCTTCCAAGGCATGTCTTCATTGAAACTTGGTTGACCTTTCACATCTGGTACATTGTCATCTTCATCATCTTGTGGGCTTTCAACTTCTGTTGCATCCTCATTTTCATTTTCTTGACTGATTCCATCATATGTTACTTCTTCCATGTTGCTCTTCTGTGGACTCATGAACTCAGTTACAGTTAGGTCAACACCATTTTCCATTTCCATTGACATGTTTGACATGATAGAATAATTGTCTGTAATTTCATTTTCCTTACTTACTCCATCACAGAATGCATGTAAATAAGTACCAAAATGGTCCATGTACACAGGCAGTTGTACTCCACACCTATATGAAACGTCTATAAACTCTTGCTATTCAAGATCATTAGAAATCAATGTTAAACCTTCTGGCTGACAATATTAAACTTTCTGACACTTCTCTTGTGTGAATCGTTCAAGAAAACCAATAAAGTCCTTGTGAGTCATACCAGAAAAATCAATATCGTCAAATACATGATGAATACCATCTGAGTAGCAAAAAGGATTGTTGATGAACACACCTTGGAAATGAAATTTGATTGAGATGAATGCAACCATTGACAAGAATTTCGGTGTAAAGTGGAAACAAGAGTTTTTCTTGAAAGAGTTCAACGGAAGTGGAGAAAGAAATAGCGAAAACAAGCTTAGTTAAAAAGATTTCAATTGAAAGGTAACACATGTGGCCATTACATTTAATGACATGGCATCATCATTTTGTGTCGTGGCACCCAATATACATGTTATCCCGATAACTGGTAACATAAACCATAACCAATTCGTAATCCCAAATAATAATTCAGTTTTAATGAAAACTCATCCAAAAATCCAAATATCTGAACCAAATAATCCGATCCAAATTGTCCAATTGAACAATTCGGTTTTATCCGAATAGTAAACAACCGACTGCAAAAGGTTATACTGAATTCTCTTATTTTTGAAATAGGGTAAATTACACGAATGATCCTTATGGTTTGGGGTAATTTGCAAGCTTGGTCCCTAACTTATTTTTTAAACTCGGAAAGTTCTTACTGTTTATTTTTGTTACGCGTTTGGTCCCTACTGTTTGTTTTTGTTATGTGTTTTGTTCATGTCTTACCTAAAAAGACTATTATTTTAATAAGAAAAAAATGGAGGGATACGCAAGGTAAGGTGAAGAAGTGGGGTTGAGATATGTTTATTTAAATAAATTTAAAAAAAATCCATGACAAAATAGTTTTTTAGGTGAGACAAGGACAAAGCACGTAACAAAAACAAATAGTAAGGACCTTCCGAGTTAAAAAAATAAGTTAGGAACCAAACACGCAAATTATCCTAAACCATAGGGACCATTCGTGTAATTTACTCTTTGGAATAATATGCATATTTTTTTAGAATGGCGCATCTAATACTATACTTATAAATCTATATATTTTATCGACAAGAAGACTCGAACCATTAATATTTTGCTAAGAAATACTTATCCATCAAAGAAAAAAAATGACATACACAAATTTCATATAGTATTGAAATCACGACTTTAACAATGATGGGCTTTTTGGAAGTGGGAATCACAAAAATTAACATTGATAAGCTAACAATCATGAGCGCATAATTTAGAAATGTTTGATCATTTGGATTTTTACACCTCTCTTTGTCTGCCACGTGCGTCCATCCAATGAATATAGACAACCAGTTTTGATGGTCTTTTGCTCCAGGAGGTCTAGAAGACCGCAACCTTTACACATTAAAAAGGACCAACCCGAAATCCCATGTAAATATTTCCCCGTCTGATCGCAACTCTAATAAGAAATATAAATTATCCCAAAATAAAGCAAGAGATAAAAATCTGTTGTATTATTATTATTCTTATTCATTTATTTATTATAATATTAATTTATAAATTATTATCATCAAAAAGATTATATTTAAAAAATATAATTATTAGTTTATGAGGTATCAGAATAAAATTTTATAAAAAAAAATTGGATATGCTTTTGTAATGCAAACAAAATAAGATGATAACTAATTTTATTTGTGTTTGAAAATTTCTTATAAATATTAAATGAAAATAAATGATATTTTATATATTATTATGTTATTTTTTATATCTAACAGTTTATATATATATATATATATATATATATATATATATATATATATATATATATATATATATATATATATATATATATATATATATATATATATATATATATATATATATAGGGTTAGGTTCATTTGAGACCACCTATATTTTGCGAGACCGTGAGACGCATTTTTTTTATTTATTTTTTATTTTTTTTATTTTTATTTTTTTTAGTTAATTTATGTTCCAAAAATAATATTTAAAAAAAGAATTTTTTAATTTTTCCATTTATTTTGCATTTTAAAATTATTTTTACAATATGTACAGTGTAATATTCTATTTAGAATATTTCACGTATTTTTCAAAAAAAAAATAGAATTTATTTTATTTTATTTTTTATTTTTTTAGTTAATTCAAGTTCCGAAAATAATATTTAAAAAAAGAATTTTTAAATTTTTCCATTTATTTTGCATTTTAAATTATTTTTTAGAATATGTCAGTGTAATATTCTATTTAGAATATTTCACGTATTTTTCAAAAAAAAAAAAAAAACGGAATTTTTTTTATTTATTTTTTATTTTTTTTATATATTTTTTATTTTTTTTTAGTTAATTCAAGTTCCGAAAATAATATTTAAAAAAAGAATTTTTGGATTTTTCCATTTATTTTGCATTTTAACATTATTTTTAGATTTGATCTCACGGTCTCACAAAATTAGAATGGTCTCAAATGAACCTGAACATATATATATATATATATATATATATATATATATATATATATATATATATATATATATATATATATATATATATTGACAAAATTGCAAAAATGATCCCTATGTTTGTCAAAATTATGTGTTTTGGTCCAAAAAGTTTCGGAGGTGCATCTTCTGTCCAATTTTGGATATTTTTACTGTTTTTGGTCCCTATCAGCTTGAAAAGACTATTAAGCTCTTTTATTTTATTTTTTCTATTTTTTAATTATTGTAATCCTTAAATTATTTAGAAATTAAATAATAGCCCAACCCATCTAACAGTTCTCTTTTACCTCTCTCTCGCCAGAAACAACCAGCACTAGCTCCTCTTCTTGACCATACCTAAATCAAGTACCCAGAAATCATATTCAGTTCCCCAAAAATCACACTTAGTGCCCAAATAGATGCAAGAGTTACTCAAACCCACATATCATGCCCAAAACAATTCCATCAATTAAAATCAGAAATCATGGATGAAATCAAAACCCTAGAAACAAAATTTTACAAGTGTACAAAGATGGAATTAAAAAATGAAACCGAAAAGAAACATAAACCAGGAGCTACATCTTTTTTTATTTGATTCACGTTCCAGAGCATAACGAGGTGAAGAAGACGATGGTGATGCAATCGCAAGTAGGAGCTGATGACAAGCATGGGTGGGGTGGTGTTTATACCAAAGAAATGGTGGTGGGAGATCACTCACATCATTGTAGTTTGCATCTGGATCTGAATCTACTCTCATCAGTGTTTGTTAGGTTGGGCAATGCTGAACAAGCAGGGAAGTTGAGTTTCTCGTAGCTAGAAGAGCACCACGTTGCTTAAAGCATTACCATGATCACCACAGAATACTATCATCATTCACCACAAACATCCAATCCCACCCTCACCCCCATCTCTTATTCCTCAGACCTAATGAAACTTCCCCACCCTTTCTTCATCGCTCACTCTTTCTTGTGTGTGATTTGAACCACCATAGTTGTCAGATTCCTCTCATACTTCACCATAATTAATCAACGAAAACCCTAAATCCTTTTGTGCAAACCCTAGCTCAAATCAACATATACTATGGTGATTTATGGGAGTAGTTCATCAGTGAGAAATTTTCAATTACGCAGTGGGAAGTGGGGTTGTTGTCATCGCCGGAGGCAAAGCCATTATTGGAGGTTATGTATATTCAGAGAGTAATGAAGAAGGATGATCAAGAGACGGGGAGGGATGGGTACTAGAGATGATGACTTATGTGGGGTTTTTTGGAATTTTTTTAGTTTATTTAATTTAAAAAAAAAAAGAAATCTTAAGAAAATAGATAGAAAGAAATTAAAATATAGTTTTAGGGGCATATTCTTCATTTCAGGTTGGATGTGGACCAAAATGACACGAATGTCAAGTATAGGGACCAAAACCACACAAGGTATCCAAAATTGGACAACTGTCGCACCATCAAACATTTTGGACCAAAAACACATAATTTTGAGAAGCACAAAGACCATTTTTGCAGTTTTTCATATATATATATATATATATATATATATATATATATATATATATATATATATATATATATAGAGAGAGAGAGAGAGAGAGAGACAGAGAGAGAGAGAGAGAGAAAGGGGGGGGGTGATCATTTGAGAACTTATAGTTTCTGAGAACCCGAGAACTATAAGTGGAACATTGGATTGTATTATTAAACAGTTAGGATGGATCATGGAATTATTGTAAATAAGAGGTAATGCAATGACATTTTGGGTTTTTATCAAGATACCATATGGGTAAATATTATATACAAAATAATAAAATAAAATAAAAAACCAATTTCTCAGTTAATGTAAAAGTCCATAAAGAGTATCTTTATCTTTCTCTTGATTTATTCATTGATTCCATACCTCTCCATCGATCTCAAACTCCCGCCTCCCTCCGCCACCCCTACATCTGTCAACGACCACCATCTACATCGGCTTACTACTCTCTCCACCGTTCCCTCTACAAAACGATGTTGTCTTCAATCATTGCCTTCTCTAACCATCTGTATAACATTGAATGAGATCTGTGTTTCTTTCCTCATGTTGTCACATTGCCTCCCGGTGTCGCATCGCTTTCCAATGATGGTGTCATATCCGTGAGTTCTGGCCATGTCATGATCGTGTCTCTGCCTCATCTCCGACGAGCGAATCACATCTCCGCCTCATGTCATCGTCATCTTCAATGACATGAGTGTACTTCATCCGCCTCTGCTCCTCCACACTCTTGAATCACCACTATCTTGCTCTCGTCAATATGACCTAAAATATCATTAATGTCTATCCTTCCTTACTTATTGTCATAGTGTTGGGGCTTATTATGCTGCGTCTTAGGGCTTTTTGTATTATATCCGGATTGGGC